AAATAATTAGATAAATCAAATTGTCAATTAGTTTAAAGAGATAATATATTTGTTTAAATATAAGGATTAAAAAATTTAATAAAAAAAAAAACTGTGACTATATTGGACAGCCAATATGGCTGTCGAATATAACGCTGCTCCCCACTTCCCACCAAAAAAAAAAATTGAATTTCCAAGCAAAAAAATTTGAATTTCCCAGCTAAAAAAAAATTAAAAAAGAAAAAAAAATTGTGACTATATTCAATAGCCACATTGGCTGTTGAATATAATGCCGCCCCGCACCTTCCCAGCAAAAAAATTGAATTTCCCGGCTGTTGAAATTTTAAACATATTCGATAGAATTTCTGTCGAATATGTTTGGAATATAAATACCACTCCAACATTAGAACATCTCATTGTCTTCTAATTTTCATTTTCTTGCCTCTTCCCTTCTCCTTCTCCTTCTCCTTCTCCTTCTCCTTCTCCTTTTTTCCGTAGATAATATCTCTCTTTGAGCTTCTTCTCCTTTTATTTTGTTTTTTCTTTCTTTTACATTCTCCTCTTTATATTTTCATAAATTACCTTTAATTTTGACAATCCATCATCTTCTTTTTTTTCATTCTTCTCTCTTTTTTGTTGAATTCTTATTATTTAATATACTAGTAGTTCTTTTTTTCTTTTTTCTTTTTTTTTTTTAAATGTTTATACATTGATTATGAAGTAATGTGAGGTAAATTTTGTGATTTATACTTTTTATGTTCTTTTCTTTTTGAAATTCTTATTACTTGATATACATTTTTTTCTGTTATTTTTGGCAAGAACAGGAACTTATTTCAAAATAATTAAGGTTAATGCTTATTTTAATTTTATTTATGATTATCTATTACTTTTTATATTATTGTTAAAATTGTTTCATAAATATATTGTTGGGGAACTTGATAATTGTGCTTGTTTTACTGATTTTTTTATATAAAATCAACAGAAATAATATAAGATTAATTCTGGATTTTGTTGATTTTTCTTTTTTTTTTTTTTACTTTTCTGCCAAGTATATTCGACAGCAACATGCTGTCGAATATAATATCGTAAAAAAAAAACATATTCGACAGCAGTAGGATGTCGAATATAATTTCCAAAAAAAAAACATATTCGATAGCAATAAACTTTCGAATATAATTTCCAAAAAAAAAAACATATTAGACAGCTATTAGCTGTCAAATATAATTTCCAAAAAAAAAAAAAAAACATATTCAACAGCTATATAATCGACAGCTAATGGCTGTCGAATATAACCTTCAAAAATTAAAAAATCTTGTCATTGAAGTTATGTCAATTATGTTTATCTTCGACAGCCAATATCTATCGATTTAAATTAGTATATTCGGCAAAAATTTTGGCTATCAAATATATTTATTATCGACTGCATTTTATACGACATACATCGTTGTCGATTATGTCTGTTGATTAAGACATAATCGACAGAAATACCTATATATTCGACAGACTTTTCTGTCAAATATACCCTGTTTCCAATAGTGTTTGTTTCTTATTTCATTGTAATATCCCAAAATTTTGGGAATTTTATCAATTAAGTAAAGGGACTTATTTTGGGAGAAATATTGTTTTGGGGCCTAATAGCTAAAAACTCCAAAGTTGAGGGACTTAAAAGGAAAGAAATGAGATAAGGATCAGCTGCTTTTTCTTTTTCTTTTTTCTTTCTTTCTTTTCTTCCTCATTAGGTTCGCAACTTGCTCCTCTTCTTTTCTCACCGATAAGCCCCCCCCAAGCTGCCGACAATTCCCCTTGAGAAACTCGGCAAAAGCTTGAAATTTCTCCTTCCTTCTTGTTCAATCACAAGATTTGGGGCTTAGAATTCTCTCTCTCAACCCAGAAAAAATCTCGTGAGATTAGTTATTGTTTTGCCAATTTTTGGAAGTTACAGTTATTGTTCACGAGTACTGTTCACGCATTGATGGCCAACAATTAACGGGGATTTAAATGTTTAGTTGGTAATATAAGAACAAATTTGGAGATGTCCGGTCATGTGGAGACTGATAGAAATAGTGTTGTGATTAGGGGTAGTCCTAATGATGATTTCACTTTGAATTTGTGGTATTGCGGTATTAACTTTGGAATATTGTGACTAAGTTTTGATCGTTCTATCACTGTAGCACTTGGGTTAAGCCTTCTGTTTTGTGCGAGTAAGGTAAGTAAATTATGGTAATGCCCTTCGATTTCAAAGCATGTTTTTAATTGTTTTTGAGATGGTGGCAAGGTTTAAATTAATTTTAAATTGATTTTATTTGCACCGAGTATGATTGGTTTGAAATGAAATTGTTTTCATTTGCATTGAGTAGAGCATGCCTATTTGGAATTGACTGAATTGCCTTGATGAACTGAGAATTTTGTAAATTCTGAATTTTTTGTTAAATCCATATTCACATGGAAATTTTTCGATTTATTTCTAAAATTTGAGATTGATTGTGAATTACGGATTTTTCTGTAAATCTTGCATGGTTTTGTCTCTAATATAGTCATGATTACTGACGCCCGCCAGTGGAAGTTTGCAAATGCTGGCACATGTCGACATGTTTACTGATATAATCGGTCCATTCTGTAATCCTGCCAATGGGATAATACATTGGTAATTACTAACGCCTACCAGTGGGAGTTTGTTAAACACTGGTAATTACTTACGCCTGCCAATGGGCGAATACATTGGTAATTACTGACGCTTGCTAGTAGGAGTTTGTTAAACACTAGTAATTACTGACGCATGCTAGTGAGAGTTGTTAAACACTAGTTATTACTGACGCCTGCCAGTGGGAGTTTGTTAAACACTGGCCATGACTTATAGATGAGACTACTACTGAATTTTCTTCTGAATTAACAATTTTTCATTGAACGCTTTGTTATTGATTTACAAATAAAACTACTACTGAATTTTCTTCTACATTAACGATTTGTCATTGAACACTTTGCTATTGAACTGAATTTGATTCTGCATTAACGGTTTATCATTGAACATTTTGTTATGTTAAACTGTTTATCAGGCATGCTAAAAATTTTACCCAAGGGCTTTCCATATTTACTTACTGAGTTATCTCATAGTTTTTCCTTGTCCACCATTTCAGGAAGCGAAGTCAAGGACGGGGAAAAACGAGGGGAGTGACGAGTTAGAAGGCTAGCCATCTTGTAAATTGAATATAGATTTCATGATATCAAGGCAAATTTTAAAATTTTATCTTCAGATTTTGTGGTATCAGATTGTGATATGATTAGTTCCGAGCCTTGTGCATTTATGAGACCCTCTCACAAGTGCACGGCGTCTGCCACGTTCCCGGATTTGTGTTCTGGGGCGTGACAGATTATTGTATCTAAATATAATATTATGTTTTTATTTTATGTCTTTTTTCATCTTAATCCAAAATATGTATATATTTTTGTATAAACTATTCTCTTTATTAGTTTTATTATTTTTTTATGAATTTATTTTGCAGAAGATATGATGATCGTTCTTTTGAAAGAATTTGGTAAGTTTATTTATTTAAAATTTATGCATTTTTTTCTTTTTAGATTATTAATGGTTAGAGGTTTTTCTTTTTTCTTTTTTTTTTATGTGTGGCAAGAACAAAACTTTATTGATGAGATTGGAATTCATCGGAGCAATAATAGCATTGATATATATACTAAATTGAATAACAAAGGTATGAATTTGATAAAGATCAATTTATATAAAAATATTGCATTTTTTTTTGTAAGATATTATGTTTTTTATTTTATTTATATTATATTATTATTAAATTTTTTATTCTTTTAAATATAAATTCTACTTCAAATTCCTTCTAAATTGTATATATATCCAATATTATTATTGTGATACCCCAAAATTTTCTAGAATAAATAAGTGAGTTAAGGACTAAATTGTGGAGAAATATTGTTTTGGGGCTTAATGATTGAAATTCCAAAGTTGAGGGGCTTAAGAGGGTAGAAATTTGGATAAGGACCGGTATTTTTTCTTCCTTCTTCCCCAGCCATTTCGCGTTCTGCTCTTCTTTCTTCCCGCTGCAGCCGAAGAAAAAAAGGAACCCAGCCAAGCTGACAGCCCCACTTGGAAAATTGGTAAGGAAGCTTGGATTTTTCCCTTCTTTTCTTGTCCAAAAACCAGATTTGAGCTTAGAAACCTCCCCCCCTACAGAGAAAATCCGGATCTGCTCTGCTCCTCCTCTTCACCGCCGGCTGCTCTTGCTTTGTGGGGTGTGATTTGCTCCAGTTTCTGGTAAGAAACAGCCATGAATCTCCCTTCTCTAGCTTTGAATTGCCTTGGGTTTACCTTAATTGCTCTTGGTTCCTTCAATTTTTGGGTAGCCCGTGAATTGCCCCTGCACTGCCGCCGGCCTTCCCCAACTGCAGCTCTGGTTCTTGCTGGAAATTGTGGTATGTGGCAGCTTCTCTAAGTCCAAATTTACCCATTTAACTGCTGAAATTAGCCATCTAATTGTTGCCCTATTGTTGTCCGAAAATCTGTTGGAAAAATGGATAAATTTCGGTAGTTTTAAGTGGGATTTATATGATTGAGTGTTAATTGACTGCTGTGTGATTTTTGGAGAAAATCCCATGAGATTAGCTAGTGTTCTGGCAAATTTTGGATGTGCCGTTACTGTTCACGGTACTGTTCACGGTACTGTTCATGCACCGATGGCTAACCATTAACGGGGATTTAAATGTTTAGTTTGTAATATAAAAATAAATTTGGAGAGGTGTAGTCATGTGGAGATGGATAGAAATAGCATCGTGATTAAGGGGTAGCCATGGTGATTTTGCTTTTGAATCCGTGGTACGGTAATTAATCCTTAGATATTTTGATTAGGTTCCCGATCATTCTGGTAGTTAGCATTGAGATCGAGTCTTCAGTTTTATGCGAGTGAATTTCTATGTCATGCGAGTGAGGTAAGTAAATTTATGGTAATGCTCGTACAGTTTTTAAAAGTATGTTTTGATTTGTTTTTGAAGTGGTGGCGGGACTAAACTCGTTTTACACAAGTATGATTGATTTGAAGTGAAATTTTTATGCTTTTCATTAAATTAAGCATGCTTGAAATTTAATTGATTGTCCTTATGATTTGAAAGTGATTGGTGAATTATGATTTTTCTGTTAACTTCAGCTTATTTTGTCTTCGATGTGGTTATGTTATTAATGATCCTGCTAGTGGGGGTTAAACGTTAGCACATGTTGACATGTTATTGATAGAACCGGTTCGTTCAACCCTGCTAGTGGGGGTTATACACCAGCAAATAGTGTGCCTGCCAGTGGGAGGTTTATAACACTAGCCGTGACTTATAGAGGAGACGTCTATTTCGTTCTCGTATTGTATCCGTTTTTCGTGATTACACTTGTTGGCATGCTATAAGTTTAATAAGGAGCACTCTATATTTACTTACTGAGTTATTTCATAGTTTTTCCTTGTTCATCATTTCAGGAAGCGAAACCGAGGACGGGGAAACCACGGGAAGTGACGAGTTAGAAGGCTAGCCATTTCGAGATTGATATAGATTTTAGAAATAAATCATGCTTTTGTAAGATAAATTTTACCTTGAGATTTTGAGGTTAAGTGTTGGACATAGAATTAATTTGAAATATATTATTTAAGTTATTGGATTGTCAGATGTGAATTGGATAAGTTTCGAGCCTTGTGCATTTGTGGGACCCGTCTCACGAGTGCACGGTGTTTGTCGCGTCCTCGGATTTAAGTTCTGGGGCGTGACAATTATCATATGTATTTGGAGGGAATATGCATTCAATTGCACCAAAAATTTCATTTAAGTAATTTTCTTTTTGTAACTTTAATTTGAGCACTTATATTAATATATTAAAATAGTCTGTAATACAAGTTAAAAGAATAAAATAGGAATGGACAAAAATGATAAGAAATTGGAAACGAGAGAAAGGACAAGAAAAATAACCATAAAATAAAATTTTGCAAGTTAAGCAATTATAAGAGAAAGAATTGGTAAAGACTAATTAAAAAAAAAAGATAATTGTTAAATATTTTCCCTTTTTTCATAATACTTCGTATAGATCTTGCATATTAGGAATATATATAGTTTGATTTTTTTATTAAAATAATAGTTGGTATTTTTTAAAACCTCAATTTTAAGGATTATGAATTCAATTAAATAAATATTAAAACTAATTAAGGAAGATAAAAAAATAAAAAATATAAGGTAAAAATTATTTGATTATTAGATTAACAACTAATAAAATTTATATATAAAAAAGAAAAATTTAAAGGCAAAAAATTTTTAGATTAACCGTTTATATCTATATCTATATCTATATATTATATAAAATGTTATACTCAAGTATTAATCAGGCACTAAAATTTGTAATTTTTATTTTAATTATAAAAAATATATTTTGTGAAAAGTTAAAAAGAAAATATAGTTTTTTTACATTCAAATATAATAAATATACGTATTAATAATATTAGTTTTACATTTTTATTTTCTCATCTTCTTCTCTTCCACTTCCACTTCTCTTCTTAATATTCTTAATTATTTTATTATTATTAGCTTTCATTACATAAATAATAAATTAATTAAACCAAAGAAAGATGAATAGATGCTTAATTTTTATGGAAAATAAAAACATATGATTATAATTTCATTCATCATCATTTATAACACTATTATAATACTTTTATTCATTATTTCTTTTTATCATTTTTAATTTTTTATGCCTCAAGCACTTTTTTTTTTTGTTGGAAAAAATGTGCATGGGGAAGTGAGATCTTAAAAAAGCTTGACAAAGAAGAAGATTTTTGTATGAATTATTTGATTTTATTTCATATAGAATCTTTTTTTGTTTTATCAAAAATATTTTTTAAGAAATAATAAAATATGTATATATATATATCTATTTGTTTTGAATGCAGACCTACAAAAGAATATGATGATGACAATGCAAAATAAGCCTTTTGATGAATACACTAGAAATATTCAGAATTTGAAAAATATTCATATTAGTTCATCAATTTTTATAAATATCAAAATCAATCAAATAAAATTTAATTCTTTCTTATTTATTTATTTTGGATTACATATATATGCTTTATTTCTATTTTCCTTAACACATATCTTGAAATTTCTATTTAATAATATTAATAATAATAACAACAACAATAACAACAAAATCAATAATAATAAAAATTAATGTATAAATATGTACTAAAACAATATCTAAAACTACCCTCGCAATTCCTCATTAAATGGGAGTAACATACATTTTTATCCAAATATTTGATGTACATTAAACCAGTATATTTATTATTATTCTTTGTTACATGTATATTAAATTAAGGGAGAATGGCTTAAGAAATGAAAAATATTAATTCATAGAATACTAAGCATACTTTAAGAAAAAGTGAATATTTAAAAATATTAAGCATTGAAGGCTAAAAAAAAATGGAATACTGTAAATGAGTTTAGGAATTTTTTCAATTCTTGATAACAAAATCTTGAAGTTTTTTTAATTCCTAACAACAAAATCTAAATGATTTGTTCGAAAGATTTTTTTAAATTCAAATTTTGATTGTAGAATATATATGTTTGTATTACTTAGTTTAAGTTATATTTTACAAAGGTTTATCAATTTTTTAATATAATGTCGAGAAAAGAACATTAAAATAATCTCGTGTAATGCACATGCAACATTCAAGTATTTGATCCTATTTAAGTGTATTGTAGTTTTTTAATTGAGAAAAGAGAAAATATTGTTTAAATCTTTAAATAAAATAATAACAGAAAAAAAGAATAAATATATTTAAATTATGAGATAAAGATTAATATTGAATATTTTTTAAATTCTCTTCATATTCTTTTTTTAATATCATTATATACAATCTTTTTTAAAAATACACTCTTACTAATTATTGAACACAATTTTTAACACAACTTCAATTACTTAATTAGAATTTTTTAGGTAAAATTCATTATAAAACTTAATAAAAAAAATATAAACTTTAATATAAAAAATTTAACAATCTGTACACAGATAAAAAAAAAAAGAAGAAGCTAGAATATAAATAAATTATAAAACTCTTAAATGACATAGTAATTGTAAGTACAGGTCCGAGGTCATTTGACAACGGACGCCTTAAATCAGATCTTTTGGCCATTCAGAACACTCCATTTTTTAGGATAAATATAGGCCAAATTTCCTATTTATATATATATATATTTGTTATGAACACCTTATAAAATTTTTTTCACTTGATCAACAACTTTCACTTTATTAAATCCATAAAAAATTTAATATTTTAACCAACATTTACGTGTCTGCACTTGAGCTTTCAGCTTATTGATATCAGTTCATGTATCAATGTATTCTCCACTCTAAAACAACTGTTCGGATCCTACTTTTTACGAATTTACTCAAATAAAAAAAAAAAACATTCACGTGTTCATTAATAATTGTTAAAAATTATAATACATTACACTCAAATAATGTGCTGGACATCAAATAACGTTATTAACCCGATGAAACCAGTGGGGACCACTGTTGGCCGGAACCGCTTCTCCCCACGTCCCAACCAAAAAAAAAAAAAACTAAAACAGGAACTTCATCCCCAATCTTAAAAACTCAGTTTCCAGATCTATCCATAACCCAGTTAACATTATTAGCACCCTTTTTCTTATCATCTTTTCTAGTTTCAAAATCATCATCATAACGTTTCTTCCACCTAGCATCTCTATCGAAAAATGCATGTTCACACTAGATCTCAGCCGAACCGTTGAGGAGGCAGAGACGAAGCGGCGTGTCGTTTCCTACCTCGATCCTGAGCTCGCTCTTCCTCTCCAACTTCACTTGTTCTATTGAGGACAAACCTGATCCACTTGTCGTCAGCGCGCCCATTGCCGCACCACCGAAAGACATCTTCAGCAATGAAATGATTGAATTTTCCATACACAGAGATTTTCGCTGATCTATTTAAGTGGAGAAATCAATATCAAATCGAAGAGAGATGAGGAGGTTGCTCTGGGATTCAAACCGCCACCACAACGAAGCTTGGACTGGACGGGTTCCGATTCATTGGGTTTTGCTGAGGTTTTGGTTCAAGGTAGACCTTGAACTTTTCCTTCCTCTATCTGCTTGAGGATGTCCCTGTTGTGTTTCTTGGTGAGGCTGGTGGTGCCTTAACCAAGCTCAAAACCCCTGGTGTTCTCGGTGATCTTATTCACCTTCGGCTTGACGAAAAACATGTTGGATTGAAACTTGAAAGTAGCCGTCGGTTCCAGAACCTTAAGGGGTTTGCATTCCAATTCCATTGTACATTTGTTAAGGATTCGAAAAACCCTAGATCTGGAAACTGGGTTTTTGAGATTGGGGATGAAGTTCCTGTTTTAGGTTTTTTCCTTTTTCCTGGTTGGGACGTGGGGAGTAGTGGGTCTCGCCAACAATGGTCCCTACTGCATATGTGGCATCCATGCAGAAAATTATACCACGTCATTAAAAAAAGTCCACATCAGATTACTCACGTTACTTGATGTCTATGTCATTATCAGGATGGCACGTATTGTATTTTTTAATGATTATTAATAAACAATGTCTATTAATATATTTGATTTTTTATAAATTTGAAAAAGTAAAGAGTGCTGATGAGGAAAAAAAATTTTATAAGATATTGACTGTGAAAAGAAAATAAATAGAGGGTGTAAATGGTAACTTTTGGCTATAAATATAACCAAAGTTAAGTGACAGAGTAACCGAGGTTGAAGTAGTCATTTCAACTGATTACACAATAAATACAATGAGATCGTTCTTAGTTAATTTCTTCTTTTTTTTTTTATTAAATGTCTACTCTAATAACGATTCTTCCTGCTTTGCCCCTCTTCTTTCAAAGCTAGGTTACGATTCTCCTTGAGTGATAAAGATTGTTGAGATAAAGCATACTCCTCAGTTGTAATGAATTTTTTAGATTTGTCACTAACCTCATCAAATGTGATAAGTGGATGCTTAATCAAGTTATCCTGAAATTTTTTGTGATTAAGGCCTTGAATTATGGCAGCATTCCCTACTACTTAATCAAAGGAATTAATTTCTATTGCTCTATCATTGAATATATTCATGTAATTTTTCAAAGATTCCCCCTTATGTTGTATAACTCTCATGAGCTTGAGTGTTGTCTTCTTTATCAACCTTCAACTAAAGAACTTTGTGGTAAAAGTAGCTACCATTTTAGTATAATAACTGATTGACCTCGACAGCAAGTTATAGCACCATGTTCAAGCATTGCCACAAAGTGTAAAGGGAAATATCTTGCACATCAAAGCATCTAAAGCATTCTAAGCTTGCATGGAATAGTAGAATGCATGTAAATGATCATCAAAATCTTTAGTTCCATCATACATCTTAAGTGGAGGCATCTTGAATCCAAATAAGTATGGTTCTTGTATGATATTTGAGATGGATTGGTTTGAGATGGTAATACACCTTGCTACTTAGCTATCATATTGTCCAAGTTGTTGAGCCTTTTGGAAACATCATTAGATACAACTATCTAAGGTTAATTTGGTAAGGGTGAATTTGCATTGGATTGATCATGTGATTCGCTAAGGGGTGGAGTGTGTTGGCGAATATGAGAGTGATCATTTTGTTGTTGAGGTTGTGGTGCTGATGTTTGATGGTTTAGGTTCACTATGTTTATGAGTGGATCACCAGGGTTATCACAGGCCAAAAGTTGAGCTAAGACAAGTTGAAAAACCCCAAATTATTGTTGCATAGCCTAAGTTGAGTAGTTAGCGCATCTCCTGAAATGGGGATAAGGTTCTGAGGTTGGTTCTCACCTCCTATTTTAGAATGTTGCTCTAGATAGGTATCATGATTTAATGTTAATGGAGGGATAGTATTAAGGCTTAGACTTCGACCTTTTCCTCGGCCTTATGTTGATACTAGGCTCTTAGCTCGAATTAAATGAGTATTAACCATATTGCAAAAGTAATGAGAGTGGGACTTTCATTGCAAGTTTCCCATAGATGACGTCAAATGTAATTGTAGTGAACCTTCAAGTCTTCTTGAGCTTGAGTTTTCTCTTCAGAATGAGCTACAAAGCCTCGAGGTTAGATTTTGGGATAGACACTTCAATACTTAAGTCAATAATAACCTGATTTGCTTAGAGAGAGTAAAAGAAAAGCCCTAGGTCAGTTTCAAGTACATGTAGTAAGCGATCCTTGAAAAGTATTTATAGGCCTTGAAAAGGTGCCCACGTGGTTTTCTTAGTGAGGTAATCGAATTTGACATGGCTATTACACTACTAGAAATAGAGACTTATTCGGTCAAGAATAAGGACAAATTTTGACCGAATAAGAAGTAAATCGATCAAATTGCTTTATTGAATTGTTGATCCAAATATTCACTATACGAAATAATAATTTGGACGAAATTTCATCTTGACTGAAAATGTTGGATAATTTCGATCAAAAAATTTGATTGAAAATGTTATTAGGAAATTTTTTATTTTAGACTATTTCAATCAAAATATTTGATAGAAAATGTTATTTAGAAATATTTTATTTTAGACTATTTTGGTCAAAATATGTGATCGAAATATTATTTTCAAATTCAAAAAAAATTAATATATTTGTGTAATTATAGAATACATATAATTGCTTTTTTTATATATATAATTATAAAATACATTTAATTAATATATAAAATTTTATTTATTTTATCAAAATTCAAATACATCAAAATTTTAAATTGAATATTATACAAAAAAATCAAAATTCTATAAAAATATTTAAATTTAAGCTAAATGGTGGAGAGTCAATTACTAACTTTTTTTTTTTTTTTTTATAGTTTCTCCATCCCTTAACACCAAGAAATAGTTAATTACAAATTACAAACTAATTGGGAAACTTAATGAAAAAGAAAAAATTATAAAATTTTAATGAAATACAAAAAATAAAAAAATAAAAAAACCAAATGAGATGGCTCCTTAAAATGCCTTTAATTTCTATTATAAAAACCTACAAAAAATAAAATTGATATCAATATTAATTGAAACAAACTTGTAAATTGTAAAAGAAATAAACTAATAAGATTAAAATTAAAGGAAGAATGAAAATGAGAGAAATTAAAGGAGATGAAATTAAAGGAAGGAATGTATGAAGCAAAAAGAATGAGAGAAAATGGAAGAGAGGAGGAAGGGAATGGATGAAAGAAAAGGAAAAGTGAAGAAAGGAGAAGATGACAAAAGGAAGAAATGAAAGAAAATGGCGGAAGTAAAGAGAAATAAGGAGGGGAAGTAATTAAGAGGAAGAGAAATATGAGAAAGATGAGTGTGGAAGACGAAATGAAGGGAAAAGTAGAAAGAAGGAAGAAGGAAATGGGTAAAATACAGTTCAAAATACTTGAACTGTTTTTATAGGGTTTAGACTATTTTGGTCAAGAATTTTGACCAAAATAGTTTTGGCAAACAATTCAAAATATTTTACTTGATTTGTGGAGCCAAAACATTAATTTTATATAAGAATTTTGATCAAAATAATTTTGGCGAAAAATTCAAGAAATTTCACTTAATTCTTGGAGCTAAAATGATAAAATTAAAAAAGAAAAAAAAGAAAAAAAAAAAGAAGGAGACGGTTATTTCAATCAAGATGCTTGACCGAAATAGTTTTATAGAGAACAAAAAAAAAAAAAAAAAAAGGGAAGGGGGGGAGAAGAAAGCACTTTACTAATACATATTTTTTTAAAAAAAAGTGGAGAGTTATTTCGGTCAAGATACTTTACCAAAATAATTTCATAGAAGATTAAAAAAAAAAAATAGGAAAGAAAGTGCCATACTAATACAATTTTTTTTTTTAAAGGAGACAATTATTTTGGTAAAAAATTTTGACCGAAAAATATAATTAAATTAAAACAAAAATTACTTAATTAATTCGACCAAAATTTATGACCAAAATGCTTACTATTTTATTATTAATATAATTCAGATAAAATATTTGACTGAATTAATGGTGACGCCAATTGACGCTCTTTAATTTTGGTCAATATTTTTTACCGAAATAAGTTTAGATTAAATTACTATGTTAAATATCTTTTAATCAGACTAAAGTATATTTTGATCAAAATGCTTGACCAAATTAAGTTTTTTTGAGTCAATATTTTTTTGTCTGAAATATTTTATCCAAAATAAAGTTTTTTCTAGTTGTGTTAGAGCAAACATCTTGAAAAAGGGAGATTAGTTAGGTGCGATCTCATCGTACTTATTGTGTAATTGGCTAAAATGACTACTACAACTTCTGTTACTATGTCACTTAACCTTGGTCATATTTATCTTGAGGAAATGATTGATCTAAGCAAAAGACCTAATTTAAGGTGTCCGAGGTTGAATGACCTCGGACTTGTACTTACACTACCTCAAACCTATACTTACAGATGGCAACCTCAAAGCTCAATCTTTTCTCTCTTGCTCTAGTTTTCACTCATAGGGAGATCAATGTTTCAACCAACGAAGAGGATGCTCTAGTGAAACTGGTCGTTGGATCCACCGGCATTGATTCTTCTATTCTTAAGATCGATGTACAGGGTTGGGGAAGAAGACTAGTCTAGGGCCAAATGTGTAATCTTATAATTTTGTTTTAAGTTTGTTAATTAATTATTAAAACTTTTAATATTTTAATTTATTAAAATAGTAAGTTAATTGGTAGGATTTGACATGGTCTTAATTTTTTCGTCCAACTAAACTTTGGGTCCCATATTTTCATTGCCATGTCATTTAAGAGTTTTCCAAATCATTAATTTATTTGATATGGAATTATAAAATAAAAATTTCGTAATGATAACACATGCCTGATCACACTTAATTAATGAAGTGACCAACAAAGTGCATTTTTAAGAATTTAGGGATGAAAAAAGTGTTAAAAAAAGTTGAAGGACAAAAACTTTGTAACATTTTAAAGTTGAGGGACTAAAATTGACATTTAACATAGGTCATATTTAGTATTTTTACTTGAAATTTTTAGACTTAACTTTTTAAACTTGATACTCATCCAACTAGCTAAAAACTTATATTTGGTACCCAAGCTAATAGGTATTAGATAACTTGTAGGTACGTACGCTTGTATATTGATAATTTGGAGAAAAATATTTCATTTTATATAAAATAGTTAAGCAAAAATATTTCATTTTAATTTGAATGGTAATTTGGAGAAAAAATTTTAAATAGCCTTTTTTTTTATATATATAGCAAATTAGAATACATTTAAGCAATTTAAACTAAGTCACATGCTGGACCAAACAACAATACAAAATGAGAAATAGATTAAATTATAAATAAGGAGGAATCAAGCCATCCATTCCAAACACAAATAAAAAAAATCATCGATTTATACGTAAAATATTAATTTATTTTATATAGTAAACAATTATATATAGGTAACATGTCGGTTAAGTAGATTAAGTCAATAAGTTAGAGAATTAGTTGTCAACTTCTATACTTAGTACTTAACTTACATTTGCTTATGAGAATCCTCTTTTATAGTTTGAACGGTAGTGAACTATAAAACATAGGCTATTGGATGGGAAAAGAGTTTCCAATATCAAGGAATCCAACCTTATTTAATGGTTAGAGTTATACAAATTGATATATATTTTCTTTTGAGAAAAGTCAAAATTAAGATGTATTTGCACTTTAAATATTAAGATTTTCAATAAAATTATTTAAATATTCTTAATAAATATTTTTTATGTGTTGATCTATTAAAAAATTAAAAAAAAATTTATTATCAATTCTTGACATTTTAAATACCAAAATATCATAATTTTCCTCCATCCCTTCTCTTACCATTCCTTGTGGCATTTACTCAAAAAGGTTAAATACATAGGCTGGAGTATACCTTTAGCCCCTCACCTTAATAAATTTGAAAGTTTTAGGCCCTCACCTTATATTATGAAGTTTTTTAACCCCTAAACTTAAAGATTTGAAGATTTTAACCCTTAAACTAATAGAATAGTTAACTCTTCATTAAGTATGAATAAAATATTTACAAAATCAGTTCTTAAAAATTAAAAATATAATAATTTATTCCCTAAAGTTTAAAAATTAAAAAAAATTATTAAATTAAAATAATTAGTAGATATTTTTGCCACATACACAAGAATAGTATTAGATATCTATAATAAATCAAGCGATTAACTCTATTTGAAAAAGGAATTCTAACTAAGATTAAAGAAATTTTGTTAACTGAAATAAGATAAAAAGTCTAAGAGACTAGAAGAATTCAACTAAGAAATTTTCTTTAATCTCATCAAAATTTTTTAATTTAAATTGAGTTAATTACTCGATTTAATTATAGATATTTAATATTGTTCTCATATATGTGATAAAGACATACACTAATTATTTTTAATTTACTTTTTTTTTTAATTTGTAAAATTTGAGATTAAATTGTTATATTTTTAATTTTTAAAGATTAATTTTATAAATATTTTATTCTCACTTTAACAAAGTTAATAGATTTTGTTAGTTTAAAAGTTAAAATCTTTAAACTTTTAAGTTTTGAAGTGAAAAATCTCATAGCATAAGATAGAGGGCAAAAACCTTCAAATTTACTAAGGCGAGGGCCTAAAGTTATCCTTTAGCCAAATACATACAGGTAGCGGCCTAATGGGTGTACTCCTAACCTAACGATGCTGGGCGACTCGGCCCTTTCCAGAAAATTTTGCGTAACGGACCCAAGTCACCCAACCAAACTGAACCAAAAACTTTTGGTTGGGCCTTCAGCTTTTGCACCTTCGCAAAGTTGCCATCACCTCCAATTTCACCTGCTGTAGAGGTCTACACTTTCCAGACTCCACCAGCAAAATGGCGACCTCTCTAGCTCGCAACTCCAGAAGAGCCCTTGCCTCAGCTCTATCAACTCACCGCCACGTCGCCTCCCGGTGTTTTTCCACCGAGTCGGCCAAAACGATCACTTCATCGGCGGATCGAATCAAGTGGGACTACAGGGGCCAGAGGAAGATAATTCCGCTCGGGCCGTGGGTTCCCAAGGTTGCCGTTGATGCCTACGTCGCGCCCAATGTTGTTCTTGCCGGCCAGATCACCGTTAACGATGGGGCATCCGTGTGGAATGGCGCTGTCCTGCGTGGCGATCTCAACAAGATCACCGTCGGTTTCTGTTCTAATGTACAGGAGCGTTGCGTCGTTCACGCTGCTGCTTCCTCTCCTACAGGTAACCATTTGTACTCTGCTCTCTTCTTAATTGTTCTTCCCATTTCGAGATAATTAATTAGGGTTTTGTTTGTTTGTTTGTTATTTCTTGAATTTTGTTTTGAAATTTGTGGAATGGAAAAGAGAAAAGAAAGAGAACGCTTCTTTCAGGGATGATTTTATATGTTTCAATTTCAGAGTTGATTATGCGGAAAAATTTTAGGGTTGATTCATTAATTTCAATGCGATTTGGGTTTGCTGTTGATAAATAAAGTGAATGAACTTAATTACTGTTATTTATGCTTGAATTTGTGGAGAGTTGTAGAAATGGAGTGTCAAAGAAAAGGCCTGATTAACTAATTTCAATGCAGCTTAAAATGAAACAAGAAAACCAGAATCATTTGGAGGGATTGGAAAATGTAGATGACACTTTCTTATTGTCATTATTGCAATTCAAAGCTTTTAATTAATAAAAGGAAAGACGAGCTGGATTAAGAACCATGGTTCTATCAATTATTCAATCTCATTGAATATTTTCAGTGTGACAATTAGGCCCTGGATGTTATCAGGCTCATTTTCTTTTGATTTGTGTGTCTGGAGTTAGCATGTGGTTGTAACTGAATAATTCAACTTTCTGCATTCCCTTACATCGATAAATTTCAGGGAAAACATTATATGGCTGGATATTTTGGTTACATTGCATTCAAGATAATTTGCCAACTTATGTCATTACTGGCATACTCCATATTAATGCTGCTTTCACAGAAAGAATAGTGCATTATTTCACTTGTCAGCAGATATTTTTTTCTTTTCTTGAAAATTCTTGAAAGAGCATTAGATTTCAATATTTACCCCATGCTGGAACTGTGGAAAATCCTTTTTTTACTTGCTTTTCATTATGCACAACAGGATAAAGTGTTGTAGCTGTGGGATAGGTAAAAGATGATGTGATATGCATGAAACATGATAAACATAAGCATAGTTGTCAGGGTGGCTTAATATAGATTTTGCTGTGGAAGATCCTTTTTTTCCTTGCTTTTCATTATGCACAACAGGATAAAGTGTTGTAGCTGTGGATAAGCAAAAGATGATGTGATATGCATGAAACATGATAAACATGAGCATAGTTGTCAAGGTAGCTTAATTTAGATTTTGCTGCTTTAGTTGGCTAAGAGGAAAGATGTTGATACTTTTGACTGGGCAAGGACAGGATACCTTTTGTATTTTCATTTCAGGAAAAGGAACTTTAGAGTGTTTATTTTAATGGTTCAACCCTATTAAAAATCATGATAATGAATGCTTTGATTGGACATGGAATTCTCTTTTTTTACCTGTTAATAGTGGCAACAAATGCAAACATTGGCATCAGGACTGCCAATGGCATGATTTACAAAAATACTGTTGTTCATTCATTAAAAGCCTGCCTAGTATTTCCATCTTGAATAGTAGAGAAAATGTAGGGTTCAAGGAGGCAATGGTAGTCCCATGGTTTTCAGAAAGTTATGACATGGATGATCATGCAATGGCAGGGGCAAGGTTGCAGGGAATGTGAACCTCTCCTGTTTGGCCATACCTGAGTTATTGCCTTTTTTTCTGCATGTGCATAGATGCACTTAGTTGTTATGGAATGAGTTGTTTAGATGCAGAAGGGCACAACTGACAAGACATTTTTAAATTATTACACATGGTAGAATAGTATTGTGAGTCCTTTTTCTTTTATCTAATGTGAGTGTGCATCGTAGTCTTTATTCTCAAAATTTCTTGCCAGCCAGAGTTTTTGTTGCCTCAACTGCTGGATGTTACAAGTGCTAAACACGGTAATTCTTTGGCTTTAACATTAACAACAATGGTATTTTGCTTTTTCCTTTTCCTCGATAACTATATCTCATAGGCTATTTACAACCAATCTCTGGATATGGTACCTGTACACAGGTTGCCCAGTATCATTGTTGCAAAAAGCACACCTAGGTGGTGCCTAATGCCAGGTAGTGTAATGCTGCTTCGCCTCTGCCCTGGGCAGTAGAGCGAGGTGTTTTCTTTATTTTGAAGATTTTCTGATGAATTTTGGCTATTTTTGCCAAAAATGAAAAATGCCTAGTAGCGCTTAGGTGGTGCCTAGGCATTGGCTACATGCTAAGCAGTGGCCCAATGCCAACCATTGGCTAGTGCTTTCTACGACATTGGCCAGTATAGTCAGTGGAGATTCTAATGACTTGATTCTGAGAATTGCTTCAGTGAGATTCGTTGTACTCTGTTTAAATTTATTATTGGCCATGTGAATCTGGAGTGCATTAAACTGAATGCAAATTTTTTATCTGTCTTTCATTGCTTTTGCTGTTACATACCTTGTAATTCATATTAGTGGGAATCCAAACCATGCAACATGGGTTCCCTTTACTGCACACCTGTTCTCTTTTTAGCAGATATGCTTTTATGTCTCTGTTACACTGGATTGGCTTTGGATCTTTAAATGTAAATAGCCTTTTTATTATTCGCTCTTCATTTTATGTAAATAGTTGCTCTTAGAACCTGCAATTCCCCTTTTGAGTGTTAATTAATGTCATTAATGTGACGGTGTTTTATAAATTTCAATTCTTTACAGTGCTACATGAATTCTATCTGCCAGTGATTATAGCCTTTTTTGAGTTAATCTCTACTTTTCTTGCTGCATTTTACTCTGAAATGAACCCAATTTCTTATTTGGTTTCTGTGAACATGTTAACATACAAGCCTTTGGGGTTCCGAAAATGGAATAAAATGAGGATGTATTGATTTTAGGATCTCCTAAGGATGCCCTAAACAATGTTCTTTAGTCCTTTTTATCATTCTATCTGTAAAAAATCAAAAGGATTGGTTGTTTTGAAAATATTTAATCTGGAAAACATCTTTCACTGGCCCAGGATTGCCGGCAGAGACATCAATTGAGAGGTTTGTCACTGTTGGCGCATACTGCCTCCTGAGATCGTGTACAATTGAACCCGAGTGCATTATTGGGCAGCACTCTATTCTTACGGAAGGTTCATTGGTGGAGACTCACTCTATCCTTGAAGCTGGGTCCGTGGTTCCCCCAGGTAGGAGAATTCCAACTGGGGAGCTTTGGGCAGGAAATCCAGCAAGGTTTGTTCGAACTCTAACCCATGAAGAAACCTTAGAAATCCCTAAACTTGCAGTGGCCATTAATGATCTGAGCAAAGAACATTTCTCAGAGTTCCTTCCCTACTCCACAGCATATTTGGAACTAGAAAAATTCAAGAAATCTCTGGGAATTACAATCTGATTCATTTTTGTTGTCATATTTACATGTATCTGGTTAACTAGAGTTTTCCTGGAGAGGAAATAAGCACAGCCCAAGAACATCTAGAACCATGCTTTCATCTGTGTATTTGATCATGGTGGTTTCTGGCTGTTGAAAGTACTTAGTACTCGTGAGTTCCAATCCGGTGGATTGCAGTTGAGACTGAAGGCACTTGTGTAATTTCTTATGTTTGCTATATTTGATTCCAGTTTTTGCAGTTGTTGAATGTTGTGGAACTGGAAAAAGATGTCTAAAATCATCTTTGTTTAGCCATTTCTTTGAATCTGTTGAGCACCTCCTTCATAAGCTAAAGGAGAATTTTACTATTATGATGCGGGGCTGGTTTGAATACTGTTTTGGTAACCAGAAAGGGCATAATGGCCAAGCTGCGTGCTGCTTTTCCTGCTGCAGGGTCAAATCTAATTTCGTTTTCAATGCCTAGTTATGATCATTTTCTTAATACATATGACATTGTGGAGAGAAATTAGGTATGTACCCATTCATGGCTGGCTTCTTCCTGTTTTTAGTGGAATGAATAGGGTCGTTATGGAGACCAATCATAAGGCAAGATTCTTCCATTCCTCTCCCACCGAAAGGATTTTCCAATAAATTTCATTTGGTACATTAGTGGTTGGATTATTAGACCTCATTTTCATGAGATAATAATCTTACTTTTTTTTTTTTTTTTTTTTTTTTTTTTTTGGTGCCTTGTAAGTTTAACGTTCACGGTGTCTCCGGTCTAGTTAGCCTGCACATTGATATTAATTTCTCCTTAATCTGATTAAAAATATATCATCTATGTGAGGACTAAAAGATTTATGAAGAACAATATTTTTAAAAAATTTTAATTTTATATAATAAAATAAAGAATAAATTTTTTTATCTATTAAACTACAACTGATTGAATGATAATAAACTTACTTTTCTATGACTGCTACGGTGCTTGGCCCCACAAAATGTTAAAGCCACACAAATTTTTATGTAGTCTTTTAAAACATTGATTTTGTTTGTTTTGACCGTAAGAAATGATTAATAAATGTAATTATTAGTTGATAAATAATAAAATAAATAATAGTTTTTGTTGATAAATTAAAATTTATTTATATACTAATATTTTTAAATATTATAATTACTTGTTTAAAAAAATAATAATATTATGTGGCCACAACAACAGCAGATTTATTGGATTTATTGGGGTGAGTAGTAACCAAATATTACTATTATATGTAACCAAATTACGTCTCTTGATGATCCGGAGCATGATCAGTTCATTTCTTGGTGTGCATAGGTGCCTTACCTTTCAATGCAAAGAATATGATTCCAGTTTAGTAGAAAAAAATTAACAATTTATTTTATTTATTCATTTATGTTTGTCAATTTATATGGTTTAAGGTTTAATCCATGAATGTTCCAAAATATAGCCATAGATTTGTTTTTAATTGGACTAAAGAGTTGAGATGACTTTAGTCGTCCATTTTTTTTAAAAAAATTATATATATTTTTAATGTTCAAACTTCAAATGGATTAGGTTTTTTTTAAATGTAATTATATATAAAATAATATTATACAATTTAAACTGCATAACTTAAACAGTTAGATAAAAAGTGAAATTATTGATATTAAAAATTATTTTTTTATTTTTTATTTTACAGTTTAATATAATTTGAATTGTAAAACAAAACTCATTATATCTTTTTATATTAAATGGAACGTTGGCTAGCCGACCAGATAAAAAAAAAGAGGAAGGGTTGGCTATATAGGGTTTAAACTCAAGGCGCCAGTTGGTTGTCTCCATTTGCATCAGGTGGTTCGTCACCTGTGCTGGGTGTATGGTGGATGTTCGAAAGAGATTAATTTGATACGTATAAAATCACCGTCATGTATATAATAATTAATTAATTAATTAAATAATTCAGAAAAGGTGGCTGCAAAATTTCAATATTTGTGCTAATGTCATCAAGCACTAAGCATGATGGAAGAGGCAATTGTAAATGAAGTTTTGAAATAAATCCTCAATCTTCTAAAAGGAGCAACGCAAAGATTTTGACATCTCAACCATCCTACTATATATCTTCATTTTCAGTACACACTTGGGTCTGCCTATCTATCGTATACATCATTCAGGTCCTCCTCCCCGGCTGATTTTGGTTGTTAAACAACTAATTTCTCTCATCTTCATCATCAACTTTGCAGATCATGAAGAACACAAACTTGAATTTCATCAGGCTCTCCAAAAGATTTATTCTGCTTAATTTGTGGTAAGTACAGAGTAATCGGAGATGTTGGGATGGCTCAATCAAACCAAAACTCCCAAGCTATATCTATAAGAATTGGGTTTTTAATTTGATTGAGCCGTGCCAATATCACGTTTGCTTTGCTCTATTATTACTTCATTTATGCATGATGAACCCTTTCAAAGGAAGGAAGAAAAGAAACAAAGAAATTCATAATCAAGGGACTCCATCAATATATTGCTACTCCTATATCTCTCTATTCTTTTTGTGGGTTAATTACTATTGTTTTAAAGGAAGAGTTAAAAGAACTGATGGGGTGTGATTGCTTCATGTAAATAACAGAATTTTTAGCATGATTTTCTGCAAAACTTTTCTTCTAAAAGTTTTTTATTTTTCAAACTATGCTAATTAATTAACAGGATTCACTCTCAGAGTTTGAGGCCTCTCAATAGCTCAACTTTGGCTCTTCCTCTAAGGTTAAATTCATTGAGAAAAAGCAGTGTGATCTTCCCATGCAAATGGAAATGTTCATACTCCGTGCTCCAGCACATAAAAGTGAGGTTAATTACGTTGTTCGTGTTTTATTTATTTATTAATTAATTTAGGTTTCATTATGTTTTTTATTTTGATTTTTATATATTTTGCAATTCTTAAAAGAAAAAACTTCGTTTATTTTTATGTACTTTCATATCTTATTATCATGATTATTAAATTAAGAAGAATAAAAATAATTTTAATACTAATTAAATAAGTTTATACTTTTTTGTTGTTAGAGTTAAAAGTCATTTTAACAAAATTGTTAGTTTTGATTTTTTTTGTTTGGATTTTTAGTAATTGTAAAATTTATAAAATTCAAAAACCATTGTAAAATTTATAAAATTCAAAAACCACTAATTGACCTAGTGGTCATCTCCTGAGAGGGACGGTAGTTAAGGCATCAAATTCAGGGGTTCAATCCTAAGCACTCCCTACCTCATACCCAATTCCCCAACCCCAAGTTTCCACGGTTCAAAAAAAAAAAAAAAAAAAAAAACATTATTTATCTTTCGGTTTGGATGGTCTATGTGTCCTTAAGATAGACCTAGGCTTTGGGTTTGGGTCATCTTATCTTAGGTCTATCAAGCAGGATTAGGTTTGAGTATCGGGTTGGAGGGATGGATCCATGACTCACCCTTGGAGGATCTGGATTAAACTAAAATTTTCTATCATTTCTCTCTTTTCTTATCTAATATTAACAAGTTAATTGGCCAAGAATATTGTTAAACTAAAATTAAATCTAATAAAATAATATACCAATTTTATATTTAATTAAATTTTTATTTAAAATTCAAAATTAAAAGTATATTTAATTAATATTATAAATTTTAAAATTAATTAATTTTTTTAAGTCATCTTGAGTTGAGCTTGATCTGACATTCACTCAACACAGTTAATTAGTAGGTCTACTAGATTTAATCATTTTAGATTTCATGTTGAGACAATAAATTTAGGACATGACCTGAAGCATATGGGTCAAATTAGGTTTAATTTTGACAGTTTTATTATAAATCAATCTTTCCTAGATCGATTCTTGATGTATTTTAAAAAATTTTCTTTAAATATTAATTTCAAAACTTAAATATTGAATTTGACTGCAAAACAACATTTACTTAATAATGAATTTAATGTTGTGGTTGTTTGTGCTTTATATGGTAATTGGAATTTTAAATAAACGGTAATTGCTATTTTCTAACAGCTACAAATAATAGACATTGTTTGTGTCTATTATTATTATTATTATTTATTTTTTGGTTTCATAAACAACATTTAGCTCCCATGTGGCAGTTGGGAATGATGTTTGAATCTTTCAAAATAAATATGGAAATTTCTAATGGTGCTTGGATTTAGAGTCACATTGAGATTTAGTCTTCTAATTTGACTTCAATTTAATTTGCAAGAAATCTTGAGATCCACATTATAACATTAGGATTTGAATTTGTAGTTCTAGTAAGAATATAAAAATCCTACTTGGATCTAGTAAAAATGTGTCTAGTAGTAAACCTAGACTTGTGTAGTGCAAACATACCTTTGGTGTGGAGATCGCACCCCCCATGGAGTGATGAGTGGTGGTTAGTGAAAAGATAAAGAGATGTAAAATGAATATTGAGGGAGTTCTTAGAGAGATTAAGAGTATTTAGAGGAGATCGAGAGGGGTCTTCTAATATTGTAAGTCTTTTCTCTTGATTAGTGGATCTCTTATCTTGCTTTGTAGGTTTTCCCTAATTAAGGGTTTTCCATGTTAAATTGACATTTTCCTTTTATTATTTTTCTTTATTATTATTTATTTGCATAATTTCTTGGTGACTCAAATCCCAACAATTGGTATTTGACTATGAAGAGGGAATTTTATTCCCAATAATGGTATCAAAGGTTAAAGGTGGAATTTTTAATTCCCAAAAGTGGCATCAAAACTTATGGTTCCAACTTTGGGCATAATGGAATATGCACAATAAATTTGAAAGTCAACTCCTTGGCAAGAGATGACTTTGATATGATGAGGTGATGCATTTGAAATGTGGATGAGGTTGAGGATTTGACAAGGAAATTGCCAACTTGAAGAAGGCGATGATGAGATGCAACAAATTTGTATAGGAAGAAACAACAATGAAGACATTTAACTAGTACAAGAGAGAAGGCCAAGATGAATGGGGAACATTTGATTTGAAGGGAATTATGTGCTCTAGAAATTTAAGTCAAGGGGGAGAGTGTTGGGAATGGTGCCCTAAATTGCTTGAAACAAATATGGAAAATCCTTATGGAATTTGGATTTGAACTCATACTTTCGATTGCTAATTTGACTTCAACTTAATTTGCAAGGAACCTTGCGACCAACATGATAATTTATGGTAACTCCTATTAAGACTTCAATGTGTACTCTTACTAGAAATCTAAAAATATATTTAGATCTAGTATAAATATGTGTTATTAACAAACTTAGAACTGTGTGATGAAGACATACCTTGGTGTGGAGATACCATCCTCAATGGGGTGATGAGTACTGATCCTGCCCCTCAAGGAGAATCTTGAGGGAGTTCTTAGAGAGATTAGGAATACTTAGAAGAGATTGAGAGGGAACTTCTAATA